TCTCTTTCTCTCAAAAATAAATAAACATTAAAAAAAAAAAGAGGCTTCTGAGAGGGATGTTCCCACCTTCCCTCTCTTCATCCCATGTTCAGGCCTTGCTCTCAGTTCCAACTCAGAGTGAATTCTCCGTCTGTGCTACATTCCTGTGTCCCCGGGCTCCCAGGGCGCTCTGTGAACACAAATCACTCTCCACAGGCTCCTTCCCAGTCTCCTGTAAATACCCCGCCCCCTCCCCTTGCAGCCCTCCCAGAACAGTCTAGACCCCAGTGCTTGATGTCTGGTCAGTGCCCCTTCAGAGCCCATCTTTCTGAACTGTTGTCCACTGTCCCCGCCTCTGTCCCCACCATCCACTCACCTCTCAGCACTTGGCCACCTGGCTTTCTCTCCCATCGTCCCCCTCAACCTGCTATCTCCCCGACAGGAAGCCACAGGGCACGCTTGTCGCTTGCCGTTCTTATCTTAACTGGCCTTTATTGAAGCAACACTGGGCGCTGTTTACCCTCCCTTGGCAAATTCTCGCACACCCAGGCTTGGGCTACCAGGTGTCTATGCACCGATAACCCCGTCATCAGCTTGATTTCCCAGTGGCCCAGCTGCTTCTAGCCTTTGCACACAGCGAGGGCTCAATAACTATGCATTCAATCAAACTGAAGTAACATCTGCACACGGACACGGGGCCACTAAGCTGCTCAAGGACTAACCCACTTCTCTCTGTAAGGTACTCTGGCCACGTGTATCTGAAAGGCTAAAACAAGTGTTGCAAAGTAACAGTCCACAGAGGCCAAGCGTGCAGTGCAAACATACGAAGTGGGCAGGTGCAGGAAATCCATAGGAGGCCAGGGGAGAAGGGTGGTTGACACAGAAGGACAGTAGAGACCGTGGGGCGGGGGGGGGGGGGGGGGGGGGTGCTGGAGAGCAGATGCCCTGTCTGCAGGGGGACCCTCCGCTCCGCTCCAGCCTGTGGAACTTCCAGGTGGGGAGGCAAGCCTCGTGATGCCTGACCGACAGGCTTTCTCAAAGGACGCTAGAAATCCAGATTTTTTTTTAATTTGAAAATGCCCTGGTGAAATGTTCGCAGCCAATTCAAAACTGTAATGGAGATGATCAATTATGAGCCGGAGGAAACATTTCTGTGAGCCAGATGGAGCCCAGCTGTGAATCTGCAACCCCCGAAATAAAGCATCTGTTACCAGCTGACACATTCATGCCACCCTGGGGTACAGTGGAGTACCCCATACAGAAGGACTTGATACGTTTTTAAATTTTAACAA